TATCAACAGATAAGGCAAACATAAGCTTGTTTTATACCTGAAATCAGGTGGAACTGCTGTTATTATGTTATTAAGCTACATTTTTCTCTCAGAAGTGGACAACTGAAACTTTGGGGCAGTGTATTTTGTTTCTAGAAGGGGCAAAAAATAGATGATTTGTGCACCATTGTTGCTTGACTTGTATAAATATTGTTTACCACTTGGGATCATTTTATATTTCTTTATTATTATTAGGTCAATTTTTTCCACTCACTTTTATGACAAAGTACCCTTACTGGCCCACTATGGAGTCCTCAGTACTGGCCCAAGGACCACCGGAGGGTGTTTTGCGGCCCACTTATGGTTCACCGACCAGTGGTTGAGAAACCCTGCTCTATAGGGCTGCACGATGTGAATGTAAAATGCTATGTTTGATAAAGCTGCTGGATATCCCAATGATAATATTACAATAACCTCTCCTTTGAGCAAATAGCAAAAAATACAAAATTACAAAAAATACTTTTTTACTTTATTTTACTATTGAGCATATTAAAACAGTTAAATGCTAATAGCCACTTATGTCAGAATTGGAGGCAGATTTTTGTGCACTGTAAAGGCCATAATATGCCGAACGTGACTCAAAAAAAAACAGCACCACACTGCAAAGTATTCAAATGCCATTTTTCCGCATCACAGCTATGTACACCGGAAGCAATTGTTTTTTTAGAATTTCGTCAAATTGTTCAGGAAAAAAACAGGGGCAGAATATCTGTCCAAAGGTTCTTTGTCCCTCACAAAACAAGGAAATTATGACATTGTGCAGGATGCGATCCACTTTGGAAAAGCGAAAGGAGAACAGAGAGTTTCTCCACCTCATTCAGGAAATAAAACTTTATTAACACTTTCACACACAGCCCTGATCTCCAACTCAGTTTGAGCTGATGCAGTTCCACACAAGACGAAGCACAAACGTCTTCAAGTGCAAATAAGATCCCCTCTACTCCTAACAGAGCAAGCAAACAGTGACACTGGGCTACTGTCCATTTTGGAAAAGTGAAAGTAGAGTGAAGAGCTTAATCGCTTTATTCGAAAGCTGGAATTTCAAATGTCCATGTTTGTAGTCCAGTTTGAGCCCCATTTGACCCGCTTTTGGAGATTATGATTCTTTTAGCGATCTTAGTTGTCACCATGCCAACAGCAGAGACGACGCTGATTGGTCAGAGAGTTCATGTCATCGCTGCATGTTTGCAAAATTCACTCTCAAAGAACCATCTGCATGATTAAAGCGCTCTTTGCATCGTGAAAGAGTTCTTCAGATTGATGGAAAATGTGCTAGAGATGGTTCTATACAGCACCAAAAAGGGTTGTGTTTATCACGGAACATCACATCATAATAATGACTTCTAAGGGTTAATGATTTTTCTACTCTTAGTACACAGTAGCTGAAATATTTAACAATTAAAGGTGCTAAATGTAATTCATCCATCATGTAAAGAACATACACCCATTACCATACAGTTTTATGGCACTGGAAGAGCAGCCTGCATTAATATCATTAACTATATCAAAGCAGCTGACTACGAGGACATTAATTATTAACTGGCAGTCATGATATATTAACATATTAATAAAACAGACTGGCTCTGTGTGCAGTACTCAGGAGAGGGTCGGACGCCCCCACACCGCGGAAACCATTCATGCTCTGCAGTGAGAGGAAAAGAAAAAAAAATACTCTGCCTCGTTCAGCAAAGTCATTCATCAACACGCAAGCTAGCCATCACGCTTCCTGCTTCATGTCCCTGCGCAGGAACCAGAGAGGACGCAGCCTTTTTAGTTATCTTACCCAGCACACATTGAGGCATCTAAAGAGTAGAGTGACCCCACAGTCTAAACAGAGCACCAAGTATCTGTTCTCTTTTAACTCACTTTAGCTAGAACTATTCACAGCTTTTCAAAGAGGCTGCAGTCACAAAGCACATTAGCTTGACTCACAGTAGCGGCAGGGTATCCAGCGACTGAATACTTGTCTTATTATATCCAAAGAAAGAAACGACATGCATATTAATGCAATTATGTAACATTCTTTGCCTCTGTGGGTTACCGCTGAATTAACCCCTCATGCTTCAAGAAACCTTGAGCAGGTCCTCACTTCACTTCCTCGCAGTACTTGCTAAATAACTCACAGTAGTTACTAAAGCAATGAGCCGAGGGAGTCTATTCATCAGAGTGATTTTACTGCAGTTAAAGGGTTTTATAGGCACGATGCAAAGCTTTCATGAAATAGCGTAAAAAAAACAGACAGTATGATGAGGACAACGTGATAGAATACAAAGTATTAGAAGGAGTATATCTCTATTTTTGCCTTGTCATTTTATATATGTATATATAAATATGTATATACATACACATACAAATGTATGTATATACATACACATCTACATATATACACCAATCAGGCATAACATTATGACCACCTCCTTGTTCCTATGCTCACTGTCCATTTTATCAGCTCCACTTACTATACAGATGCACTTTGTAGTTCTACAAAGTTACAGACTGTAGTCCATCTGTTTCTCTGCATGCTTTTTTAGCCCCCTTTTACCCTGTTCTTCAGTGGTCAGGACCCCCATGGACCCTCACAGAGCAGGTACTATTTGGGTGGTGGATCATTCTCAGCACTGCAGTAACACTGACGTGGTGATGGTGTGTTAGTGTGTGTTGCGCTGGTCTGAGTGGATCAGACACAGCAGTGCTGCTGGAGTTTTTAAACACCTCAGTGTCACTGCTGGACTGAAAATAGTCCACCAACCAAAAATATTCAGCCAACACCACTGATGAAGGGCTAGAGGATGACCAACACAAACTACGCTGACACACATGAGCTGCTGCTGTCCAGACAGTGTGAAGACTGAGTACGTAACAGAATATGAAATATTAATTGGAACAAGACTTTATATCTATTATATATGCCATAACCTTTACACAGGCCACATGTTATGTTTTATTTTTCCCAATATGTAAGATTCAGCAAAATGGCCATAAGCTAAAATGCCCGGAAGTGTGTTCTCAGTAGAGAATGTGTACTTCTTTTCACTTAGAAAATCTACAAACATAATAATAATAATATAGTAATAATAATAATAATAAGAAGAAGAAGAAGACGAATCTGGCCAAGGGCGCCTTAACGTTTGCATAGAACGGTTTATAATATGAAAACTGTCTAGCAAATAATTTCATTTATTTTTGTAATAAAACACAATAAATTGCTCTTCTGCCTAGCAGTGTAGTTTGTTAACAGCAGGCTATGAATGCCAAGCAACACAATGGTAAAAGATCATTCTATGAAGAGCACAAAGAGTTTTAACAACTGCATTAATACAGAATTCATTTGACCGTTTGCAAAATTAAGATTGCTGCCTCCCTCCCTTAGTTAGAGCTGCTATGTCCATCAATCTTTTGTTTTAGGACAACAGGTAGCATCCATATCACTTGTGCTAACAGACAAAAATGCTCTGTAGCGCAAAGGAAAAGTAGAGAAGTACCTACATGTTTGAAAAGTTAAAAGTTATGAATGCAGGCTAATATGAAGCAAAAAAAAGGACTCTAGAAACCATGTTTACATTCATCAATCCGGGGAAATCTTTTGGCCACTCTGCATTAAAGCAACAGGTTTTCATTGAGAAAGTTTAAATGACAGAAGCTCTCCCTTCAAATGATCTAAAGCTTAAGCTAATGCTGGAGCTAGTTAGTGCAGTGTTAGATGCTGAGGACTCAAACTTTGATGAAACAAATTCAAATGATGCCATACATACATTAATATTCATTTTTTTGCAGCGGATGCTTTTGATAGGAAATGTGTGCACTGTACAGTCTGGTTGAACCTAATTTATCAAGCTGTCAGCAGCTAAGTTAAGAAAGCTAATTTGAGGCCTATTTAGACTGCATTAGTTTCCCATGGGAAGGTGGAGTAATGCCAATTTACCACAGGACTTTTGTAATGTTCATAACTGATTCACATGAGACAAGAAATCTCAGTTTAGATGGCAGAGATGGGAAAGGCTACTCGATTTACGCACCACCTTTACTCCAGAAAAGAGTAGAAAATGTCAAAGCTTTAAATTTAGCCATTATTTTGTTTACCCTAACCATTTACCTTTCTGTTTTAAGTGAGTGCAGTAAGTCCTTAGCATCTTTTTTCTGTAATTTTAACATGTTGTGAGTTGTATATGTGACATAGAACAGTAACATTACATATCGGCCTGATTTTATCAACAGAAAACAAAAGTAAGTGCTTCTTTTTGTGTCTCCACACTTAAGAAACTCCATAGGATATGATTGCATTTTTACCAACATGTCGATTTGCACAGGATTAATATAACAGTAGGTTATTTCTGTGGTTTGTTTATAGAAGTGAAAAGGCGCTGGAATCCTTACTGAAGTGGGAGTGCAGAGATAGTACAAATGAGTTTAGCTTACTTTGGAGCAATCATTGTTTATGTGTGTTTATAGTTTTAATACTAAAGGGTTTGATACTGTCTGGTTACAATCTCTCACTGAACTAAGTATAATTGTGAGAGACACAAAACTGTTAATATTAAAGTGTAAGACCATATCCAGTACCAAGGTGTGAGTTTTAATAATAAACTTTTTAGCTTTGGGAACTAAATAACTACTACATTACAGCCTAACAACTCATTACTATTTACTACCGTCGCTGTTCTCACTGCAGGTTTGTTACAGAGGAGTTTTAGAGATGCTAATGTGATTGGCTAAGAAACATTTAAATATCTTGGAAACAGTTAGTTGATGTAGGCAGTTGTATGTGTGCAAACTGAGTATTTCACAACGCTTGTATCATCGCTCAACCGAGCAGAACTGGAACTAGCTTTTTTACAATGAGTGATAAGCCTTAAGATTAATGACTGAATAATAAGCCATGGAGTTTAAAGGGCAACAGTCATGAATGAGAATGAAATCAATCCACTAAAGGAGGGCCTGCTCAGCGACCGCATGTTACTCACTGTCTGGTGGCTCTTGTCCTTTACATCATAGACGCTGAGCTTGATGAGGCTCTCCTCATAGACGGGCCAGTCGGGGGACAGACTCACGCCTGTCAGAAACAGAGGGTCTCTTGTTCCCTGCCAGAGAGAAAAGACAACATGGAGTGAGTGAATGAGTGTCTGTATGTGTGAGAGAGAGTGTCTTAGCAGCATAGGGGCCACTGAGTGAGTCAACAGCTGCCCACAGCTCAGCACACACAAGTCCTCCATCCTGCTCTCCACTGCAGACAGGACAGGAGACAAAGATAGCTTCTCCACTGGGAGGCTAGAGGGAGATGGGTGGGAAAGAAACCCACCACATCAGAGCTCATCAAAAGCTCCAAATACAGATTTATAATTGTAGATAATTCATTGTTTAAATGCTAATAAGTTATACAATCTTTCTTACATGGTACACTTTCATAGTTTACATTAGGGCTGCAGATTTTTTGTAAATGTGAAGTTTGATAAAGCTGTTGGACATCATGTTTGACAAAATGACAGCGATAAATTATTAATAACACAGAGTGCCTCAGACTGGATGACTGCTGAATCTGCAGACTCCTTCTTCTTGTTATGTACACAGATCTTGAACTAGCATCTCCTCTAAGCAAATACCAAAAATACAAGCCTACAAAATGCACTATTCACTACTGTGCAAAATAAATATGAGGAATGCATCAAAGCTAATTTTTCATGTATGACCACATATTTTTTAGTACATGCCAATATCGAGCCCAATACCATACTGAGCAACCTACACAAATAAAGCAGTTGTTAGTGTATATGACAGTAATGTACCTTAACAGCTAAATCATTAACATCTGGCTGGTTTTAAATGAAGTGCATTAGCTAGCTATGCTACATCGGTTACTCTGGATCAAGCAGCTTTGCAGTGGACAAAAGAGGGTTTTGTTCCATCAGAAAAGCAGTTCTGTACAGCTGTAAGTAAAGTACATTTCATAGTTTTGATCATCAGTCTCTTCCAACAACAGTCCTGCAGCCCAGCAACAGCAGAGATCACATTTGAGGGGCTCACTTGTGGAGTTTTACATGTTGTTTGTCTTTTGATTGGCTGGTTTAGTTAGAGGCTGGTAGCTGCACATCTTCTAAAGCATAATAATATGGTTCTTTAGTGAATCACATTGTACGTTTGAATACACTAACTTACCATTAAAGAGAAAGCCTACAATTTACATGCTGGCATACACTGCAAGCCAAAAGTTGGGAGACGTCAAAAATATTAAATAAAAATGAGAATGTTTTCTTTGTTGGTTTGCAATAACTTAACATATTAAACACTACACTGGTTTATTTACATGAAGAACAAAATCACATGAGACAATACAGCGTTTACCCTTCCACAAAACAGAGCAGGCAGCCTGTCATGGCTTGAATGAGAGGAAGTAACAGGCAGACTAACCTTGGCTTCGTAATGTTTTATGTGTTATGCACTTATTATAACCTGTTAAATTACCTATTATCAAATGTAAATACGCTCTAAATCCAGATGCAGATCTGGCCACTGATCTAGCGCTGTGTAGCCGAGGCGAAGGCGAGCTGTGCTGGAGCAGCAACATCCATTCAGTCGGCTAAACTCACAGAGTCTCTAGGTCGTTAAAGGACATATTAAAGATTAACGTTTTTCTGGAAACTGAAATATTAGTTTGTGTTGTTTTATTAAAATATGGTGCCCAGTAAATGCTAATAAAGCCGTGAAACTAAAGCGTAGTGTTTCACCTTTGCCGCTTCACTGACGAGGAAAACCGGTGACAGCTCCCCCTTCTGGATGTCTGCAGACATTAGCAATCAACTTTCTATTGCATTCTTCAAGACCTAATAATCAAATGAAGATCTGTCTACAATTTAAACAAGCGAGACTCTGTTGGAGAAAAATCCCGGTCTTTTTCTCTACAGACATTTAAAAAATCCTTAGATAAATTATATGTTTAAAGCCCAAACAGACCATTTACGAGATCAATCGTGTCATTTCTACACGGCAAAAAAGGTCTTGAAAAACGGACAAAAAGGCAAAGGTACAAGACTGTGTATTTAACGTTTCTAATGTCGGAAAGAACTACTTATCCCAAAAAGCACCGCGAATGATGTCAACCAATCACTTTCCCTCAACTCCAAACACTTTTCAGACAACTTTCGCAGTTGCATATTTTCTTCTGCTAATTCTCTGTGTATATTTTTAATTATGTATGTATTAATAATTTGTATTATTGTTATTTTTATTATATTTTTATCTACAGATATCGTTTTCCTTTTGTCTTTCTGGTTTTGTTTTTTACACTTTCTTTGCCAGCAAGTTGCTTAGCAGTCATAGTACAGTGAACTTTGTGTTACTATGAAAGAACGATTTTAAGACTTAGATTAATCTTACATTAATCCTCATATGAGTTATTTTACTGATTAATGTGGTCCCAGTAGACAAACAGAGGGGCCAGCTGTAGGACAGAATGTAACTGTTAGTGATTTTTTTTTTTTAAATCAACGAGTTTCTGCAGCAGTGTGTCATGAAGACTTGATGTGTGTAGTTCACAATAGGTGCCTGTGAGCTAACGTATCAAATTATGTTGGCCTTGACAGAACTGACAACCTGCCCCTCAAACGAACTCCACTCCGCTTCATGGCCTGCCTCTGATTTTAACCCCTTCAGTCACTCTTCTCCTAATCCCTAAATAAACACATCGTGTCTAACAGGTAAACTGCTGTGGTGCAGTGCGCAGCTATCAGACAGAGACCAATTCATACTTTTCTGGCGACAAACCATGTAGTTGAAATTTCCATGGAAAGAAAAGCATGTCTGATTTGTTGAAATTTGTTTTAAAGACCATGGGTACTACATTTCTTTACAAGGATTGAGGGAATAAAATGTGTTTTTTTTTAAACAAAGTTGAAACCAGATTATGGCTTTGTACACCAACATCTCACAATCCTGTACAAGCCTGTAGTTTTAGTTATAGTTGACAACAGCAATTACAGAAGCACACAGCTCCTTTAGAATGTGTTATTCATTTCAAATGATACATTTTGGATGCAAATGGAAGGTGATACTTTCAAGATAGGTCTCATGTAGCTTTGGTATATTGTATGTTGTGTAGAATGATTAATACTTTTGATACTGCGATATGTCAAACACTTCAATACTCTAATTTCCAATGCTCTTAAAACCTTCGGTTCTCTATTTAGTTGAGCTAGCACCAGCTTGTATTTTGCCTACTTTCTTAAAAATAAAGGCATCAAAAGGGTACTTAAATGCCTGTCTACAATGCAGGACATAAATGAAACTGTCAATTAGCCGTGGATTTCAAATAAAAGTAAAAATTCTTTTCTCAACTAAGCTACTCTCGTAAACTTAAAAAGCTTAGTGTTGTTCAGTATTTGTTGCCTGGCTAAACAGGCTGTCAATCAACAAAGACATGTATTAGCCTGCTATGACTTCCTTTCAGTATGGTCTTTTGAGTTACTATGAATATCAACAGAGACTTTCTGCCATTAAGTATTTATTTTATTTTTATTACTTTTGTTTTTGTTTGTTATTTCTGGGATCACACAGAATGGGTAACCCAGACAAAGCCATTATTAACCTCCTCTCCATGTCATCCAGGTGGAACTATGTCGGCTCGCTGTGCACGGACAATGGACAGTAGCTTTTGCCTGATTGGTCAGTGCTACGTCGCTGCTGCATTTGCTTGGAATTGAAGCCAGCTCATCTTTTCTCACTGCGCTGTAAGTAATGTTCACGTCGCTTGCTATCCCACAATTTTTTTTGCAACTGCCCTTTGAAAATGAATGGGGGTGAAATTTCAGATGTTGTATTCACATGTAGTGGACGCGTAACGTAAAAGCTGCTTGAGACATTTTAAGATAGTTTTGCAGGAATCTTTTGGCTTAAAACATATATTTTTAAATGTCATTCATTGTGGAGAGTACATGCCTGGCATTGTAAGGCCAAACAGTCCCCAAAGCAAACTTATTCTTTATAGATTTACCATTTTGCCTTTATCACATTACATATAAATATCTCAGAAGACACATGTAGGTTCACTGATAGTCAGTAATGGCTATATTTGCACTGTAGTCAGTGTGATCCCTCGTTCCTACACCACCACTGTAAAGAAATCAGGGTCAATAAGTTTCTCTACAACAAACCATTTCACATCAAACCACTCTGACTTTCAGTCTCAACCACTGAATATCAGACATGATCTGCCTCAGAGGTGGTCTGCCATGCCTCTTGCAGAAATCTCTTCTGCCTCCCTTATCTCCAAACACAGCATTATTCTTACTTTTTAAAAATGTAACAGTGATAACTTGGCATTCTTTGAAAGGCAACATGTCCCCAAACTTTTGATGGGGCATCCGCATCCAGGACCTGCTGGAGTTCAGATGGAGGGGCAGGTATAGCTGCCAGCAGTACAACAGTATGCATTCAGCTAGTATATGTCTAGCTGAAGGGCTACAGCAGCTAAACATGGTTTTCCAGGCAGAAGCTCCAGTGGGGAGCCTCCGAAACCCCACTGTGAAATATCCAGACCTGCTCCAGCTCAAACAGCATCTGCTTTAAGCTCGGAGACCGCCCCAGCGCCGAGGGCTGCCCTCTGCACAGTTTCCCAGAAACCCCTTCTATTTGTAGGGATGGGGGTGGTTACTTGACTACCCAGTGATCTGAACTCATCTTAGCATTTGTGTGCTTAACTAGATGTTTGAATAAGGCATGTATAGTTTTTAAATCTTTTTAAATAAGTTTGATCAAGTAGAATATAGAAAACGTGGCAACACAAGCAGCTGAGAGCATAGCTGTGCAAAGAAAGCATAATCAGTCTTGTTGAATTGGATTCAGTGCAGTAAAACTAGTGCTGTAGACTGGACACAGGACATTTTTTATTGTTTCAGACTTGTCTTGATAGTATCTATACTCATGTTTGTCTCAGTCTCGGCCATTGGACTTGCCAAATTTAGCCTCTGGTCTTGAGCCTTGAAAAAAAAAAAAATGATTTTCTTTATTTTAACTGACACAAACACCCACTTACCCAGGCTCAAGTGACTTAAAAACAAATCATTGCATTGGTGTGTGTTTCAATTTGCCA